CTCGTTCAGGATCAGAGGGAGGCTGAAGGCTTTGCGATGGACTCGTAAGTGATGTCGTCGTGACTGAACGTCTTGTCAGATCTCTCACACGATACGAACGACAAGGCGAGACAAGATGGGACGAGAGAAAAGAGAGGCTCACCGTCGGGCCGATGCCGCCGCTGGTGACCACGAAATCATAACGATCGCTCATGCGGCGGACAGCTTCGATTATCTCGGATTCGTCGTCCTCGATGACTTCGACGCCGCTTCAGGCTTCTAGATTTTGTGAGCTGGCTGGATTTGGTGGGTTGGGTAGGCACAGGGCGCGCTTAGCCTTACGAGACCGAGAGAGAAGCACCACTTCGCCATGTAGGCAGAATTTTGTCTGCGCCTGTCAGTGTGACGCTCCTTCCGTGGAGATATGTGGGCTCCGTCGATTCCGCCGAACGTACATCCACAGTCTATCGAGTGTCAGCACATTCGCTTCGCAGAGGCCGCGCGCAACAGTCGCACCTTGCCGCCGAGGACCTCATCGCCGATGATCAAGCACGCTGCCGTGTGAATGGTCCTCGAATTACGTTCATCGGCTGAAGCCATGATTCTGTTGGTGAGTCTTGTCGCCGAAGTCGGACGGGTAAATGTTGAGGCTACGGGGAGGTGTCTCGCGATTTGGGAGAGACGTGAAAACATGAGAGTGGTCGGAAGATAATGAGAAATGGCGAGAGGCAACGACGAAAGAGACAAAAACAGATCGCTGTTAGAAATCCGATGCAACGTCCAAGCAGGCCGACGAAGTGAGGACGCAGTCTGGAGAAGTCATCAGTCGAGTTGTGCTTCGTAGCTCTGGCGACGAGCAGCCAAACGGTGAGGTCACCAGTGGAGACCCGCTTGCGCTTGAGCTTGGGTACGTTAGGTAGGTGCCTCGAGGAATGGCGGGGCTCGCGGCTGGGCTGTCCCCTGCACATCGACTGTTCAGGTCCCTTGACAAACGCTGCTGTCTTTTCGATCTCCCCAAGCTCCCAGCGACCCGACCATCTCACGCCCCAAGCTTCCAAGAGACGGCTCATCGACCACCAACACCTTGTTCTGCGACTGATCGCTTCAACATGGTATGCCGCCTGCCATGCATGCTCCCGTGTCCTGACAGCGACTGACCCCGCACCCCCTCCCCCGCCAGGCTTCCGAATCGCGTCTCTACACTTTCTCCCAGGACTCCAAGGACCACCTGCGCAAGTTCCGTCTGGGAACGTCAAGGTCCAACGATCCTCAAGCAGTCATTTGTATGTACGTCTCGCTGTCGGCAGAGAGCACATGAGATGGCTGCGAATTATGTGCACCGCGATCGTGTCTTTTCGTCCGTACGGAATGCGGGCTTGCAAGGCGTTCATGTTCCCCTCGGCTGATATATTCGATAGACCTCATTGATAAGACTACGCACGAGATCCGCCAAGATGAGGATCAGATGGTCTACAAATCCCTCGACGCCATTGCCGATGACCTGCCCGACCACAGCCCGCGCTTTGTGCTGCTGAGCTACCCCATGACTGTGGTGAGTCTTTGTCTCGCGACGCCGACAACCCCGCAGAATAGTTTTCGGAAACTGACAATTGATGGGCAGTCCGGCCGAACATCGGTCCCTTATGTCCTGCTCTACTACATTCCCGTGACGGCCAACAACGAACTCAAGATGCTGTACGCCGGCGCCAAAGAGCTGATGCGGAACACGGCCGAGGCCGGCCGGGGTGCTGGACGTCGAGAGCATTGACGAGATTGAGGAGATCCCCTCGAGTTTGGGCGCCGACTAGCGGTGGAAAGTGAGCGGGTCGCAAGGAGGGAGGATGACGAAGCACGTGGGACAGGAGCATCTAGGGAAGAGAAAGTTTTGGCATTCAGAGCAGGCAGGGTATCAGATCTTGTTTTGGTCATCCATCGGTCATCCTCCATCACAAATATAACATCCCAAGACGCCTATTCAGGCAAAACGTCCTTCGGATCCAGTCCAATCTGCCTGCTCACGTTCCTGACGACCTCCTTGAAAGCAAGACACGCCGGGCTGTCGGGGAAGCTGTCGAAGTAGCTCTCGCCGTAGTCGCACGCCATGCCTATCCTCGGGTCCAGCGGCACGCTGCCCAGGAAGGGAATGCCCATCTCGGCGGCCAGCCCGCGGCCGCCGCCCGTCGTCGCGCGAAAGATGTCGCTCTGGCCGGTGCACTTGGGGCACACGAAGCCGCTCATGTTCTCGGCGAGGCCGAGGACACGGATGCCGGCCTTGCGGCAAAAGTCAATCTCCTTGCGGACGTCGAGCAGCGAGACCTCCTGCGGCGTCGTGACCATGACGGCGCCATCGATGCCGCTCTCCTTGAGGAACGAGTTGACGCTGAGGTGCTCGTCGCTCGTGCCGGGCGGCGTGTCGACGAGCAAGAAGTCGAGTTCGCCCCACTCGACGTCCTTGAGGAACTGCTTGATGAGGCCGTTCTTCTTGGGGCCGCGCCAGATGACGGCGTCGTCGCGCGACGGCAGCAGGAACTGGATGCTCATGACACCGAGGTTGTCGAGGACCCAGACGGGGCTCCAGCCGGCGCCGGACACGTGGATCGTCTCGGCCTCGACGCCGAGCATCTTGGGGATGCTGGGGCCGCAAATGTCCGTGTCCATGACGCCGACCGACGAGTCGGGGTTCGTGGCGAGGGCGTGCGCGAGGAGCGCCGTGAACGTGCTCTTGCCGACGCCGCCCTTACCGCTGAGCACGAGGATCTTGTGCTTGATGCCCGAGAGGCGCGCCGAGATGATGGGGATGTTCGGGGTCCGGGCCTTTGGGCGCCGACGCGCAGATGGCCTGGTTGGGACAGCCGGCGCACGAGTCGGCCGTGCCGGCTTGCTCTGATTCGGGCCCCGGGCAGTGCTCTGGTTCGGGGGCCACGAGCGACGGCTTTTGCGGGTTGGCGATGACGTCTTCCACGGCCTCGGGCGCCTCCAAAGAGGGCGCCATTGCTGTTGTCGATGCGTCTGCAGTGTGCTTGGAGTGTAAGAGACCGAGTAGAAATCGTGAGGTGAGGTTGTGGTGATGTTGAGGAGAAGGTGAGGAGAAGGTGAGTGCTCAGTGTTCCAGAGGCACCGCTGGAGGGGCAAAAGTGAAGGAGCTTAATAATTCAGTTGGCTAGACCCTCCGAGGTCGCATCTCCGCTACCTGCAGCCATGGCTGATAAGCAGTGACGCATCGGCGTCTTGTCTTTTTGATGAACATGGGCGAGTATGTCAGTCGAAGGTACACATGCTTCATGAATCCCCCCTTTCGCCAGAGATCGTGGCACACACGTCTGTGCCTTAATGCCAGCACGCAGGCCATGTCCTCGGTCTCCGAAGGCCAAAGCTTGGCCTCCGCATTGGAGGGCAGGGGAGGGAGGGGCTTATCAGATCTGATAAAGACCGACCCCACGCAAATTTTCAGAATGACCCCTCCAACACCCAAGCCAATCTGACTGGAGTGAGTGACCTGCCGCTTGTTGTGACCCTTGACAAGACCATTTTCTCTCGACACAACAACCATAGACGACAACAAAAACAACAACAGCGCGCGACATCTACCACAAAGCCAACGAGGCGCTCATTTCGACACATTTCACCCCGCCTACCAAAGACACATTTGCATCATGTCGCCCTCGGCCGACCCCCCTTCGCCCATCTCGACCGAGACCACCATCGCCGCGCTCCGCAAGTCCATCACCTCGGAGGCTACGCCCCTGCCCCTGCGTTTTCGCGCTCTCTTCTCCCTCAAGCACCTCGCCACCGTCTCCGAGACGGCCGAGTCCAACGCCGCCATCGATGCCATCGCCGCCGCCTTCGCCTCCCCCTCAGCTCTCCTCAAACACGAACTCGCCTACTGCTTGGGCCAGACCGGCAACCTTCACGCCGTGGAGCCCCTTCGCAACGTGCTGAGCGACCTCAACGAAGACCCCATGTGCAGGCACGAGGCTGCCGAGGCGCTGGGTGCGCTGGGCGACGCCAGTCAGCTCGACATTCTGAGGCAGTTCCGCGATCGCGAGGGCGAGGAGGTTGTTGTCACTGAGACGTGCGAGATCGCCATCGACCGTCTGGAGTGGGAGACTTCGGAGCAGAGGAAGCAGGAGAAGCTGCGCAAGAGGTGAGGAGCTTGAATTCCCGGCCTACATTCCTGATGCGCAGAGGCAGAACATCACGGCTAACTACGTTGTGCCCATCCAGCGACTTCACATCCATCGACCCCGCACCGCCGATGGAAGAGTCCCAGCGCACCGTCGACGACCTCGAGAAGAACCTCATGGACCAGTCCAAGCCCCTCTTTGTGCGCTACCGCGCCATGTTCGCCTTGCGCGACCTGGCCTCGCCGCCTGACCTGCCGACAGCTGTGCCTGCCGTCCTGGCCCTCGCCAAGGGCCTCGCAGACCCTTCTGCCCTCTTCCGTCACGAGATCGCCTTCGTCTTTGGCCAGCTGTCGCACCCTGCCTCCATTCCCGCCCTGACTGCCGCGCTGAGCGACACCAACGAGGCGAGCATGGTGCGCCACGAGGCGGCCGAAGCCCTGGGTTCGCTCGGCGAGGAGGAGGGCGTCGAGGCCACCCTTCTCAAGTTCCTCCACGACGACGAAAAGGTGGTGCGCGAGAGCGTCATTGTTGCGTTGGACATGGCCGAATACGAGGCCAGCGGCCAGACGGAGTATGCGCTCATCCCCGAGGGCACCAAGGTGTCAGCGTAAGGTGAGGGGGGGCGGGCAGCGTGTATATAGACAAGGAGGTATCATTTGATTTGAGCCAAAAAAAAAAGCAATAATTCCACTTTCGATGCAACAGGTTCTTAGTTGTTTTGTGACCACCTAGATTCGTCGTTAGCACATTGTTCCGCCTCGACGCCAACCGTCCCGCTGGGCTTTCTCGTACCTGTTGCCGCACTTGCACGTGTAGAAGGTCGTGCTACCTTCATCGGCACCACGGAGCTGCAGTTGGGTGTAATAGACCTCCTCGCGTCCGCATTTGGGACAGGTCTCGTCGATGAGAGCGTGGGTGTTAACCTTGTGCTTCTCGATGGTCTGCACCTTGGATTGCAGCTTCTGCCTCAGCTGGGAGGGAAAGTCGGTGGGTTTGGTGGAAGTCGAGATCGATTTGGAGCCAGTGTCTAATGATGCCGCCGCCGCCTTCACGTCAGTCGCAAAGCACAAGACGGGCCTATGCTGGAAGTCTCGGAAGTGGTCGCACCTTTATTTTCGGCGTTGCAGCAGGCGCAAATGAGGACTGCCTTTTTTCCACCTTGCGACACCGGCAACAAGTTACCGCAATCGTTGCAGAAGACAAGACTTCCTATCGCAGACATTGTGTGGAGTAGTTTGCAAAGTTTGGCGTGAATATGGTTCTGAGAAGTCTCGATGCCGGGATCAGCTATCTCATGAATCTCACACATGCAACCAGTTGAGGGAGTGAAATTTCCAGACTGGTCCCTGGGGATTTTTCTCCCTTATCGTTATCGATCCTAAAAGCATTTATCGCTATCGTCATCTGGTACGTACAGTTCCGGGGGCGGGCATCCTTCGACCCCTGTCAGCCCCTGCCAGACTGCATCAAGGCTATGCCCCATGCGCCGCGTGGGGAAGCCCACGATTGGCCAGGCAGCAACAGCAAGCACGAGCCGTCAAGTTGGATGACCGGGGTTCGTCCTCGCGAGGCTGTCGCAACTTCCACCTTCTCCAACCTCGAATCGAGACGGGGTCGACTTCAACAATATACACACCACTCGAACGCCTTGGCAGCTGGGACACTCGAAAGCACCCTCTCGTTCCTTGGGCTCGAACAGGTTCAATAGCGACATCGTGTCTCGTGTGCACTTGTCCTCGGACGTCCGCTCCTTTGCACCCACCCACGTCTGCCCGACAACGTTCTTGCATCCGCATCCGCCTAACAACAAACCCGTTCCGACTTCGATAGGCGATGAAGCGCAGAGCCTCCGACGGCTGAAACCATGGCCGACAACACAAGCGGCCAAGGGCCTGCACCGCCCGGGCCGGTGAACGGGACCTATGGACAACCTCAACCATCCTTTCACGAGCATTCCGTGCGGCCGTTCACGCTGCAAGAGGCACTGCCCTATTCGCCTCAAACATCGGTCGTGCCATTTACTGCAGGTACGCACCCATTGTTCTTTGCTGATGCTTTCATATGTCGAATTGATCTGACCTTGCCGCTCTTTCCACTTAGACCTGATTCCTGATCCCACGGTTGGGTCCGGCCTACCTGCCTCGAGCATCGCTCATCTCTTTAGCAACAAGGATTTCGACCAACTCAACAGACAAGCTTCGCAGGATCCGAACAGCAAACAATTGAAACATGCTGTAGACCACTTGCTTCAGGAGCTGAGACCAAACCAGCGAACATTTTAGTATGCGCCCATCCTGCCCCCAGCCAGTCAACCAGATTGCTGACAATCATCAGCAAGTTCAAGCAAATCACGAAGCCGCTCACCGACCTCGAGTCATCAAAACACAGACCCGAAGGCCTCACAAAAGGTCTGACGCCACTGAGCACCATGGTCCTTGAAAGGGCGCCCACCTTCATTCGACGACCAGGCGATGGCCCGACTCGAACTACGCCAAATGGCGAATCTGGCGTTCACGACCAACAGCGACCGCCGAAGAAGTCAGGCTCGCCACAGGACGCGAAACGGGCCATTTCCAACGCAGAGGCGCATCGCCAGAATGCAGCTCGCATAGAGATTGCCATTCCCGCCAAACAGTTCGACCCGACTGCCTACGTTGCTTATTCTGACCAGCCTTCGCCCATCGATCAAAGCACAGCACCCACGGCTCCTCAGCAAGCCCTTCCCCAAGGAGTTGTCAAGCTTGAACCCACTGGCACGAGTGAAGTTTCCTCCGCTCAGTCTACCGCTGCGCCAGTCAAAAGAGAGTCAGAGACTAGGAACGCCGCTTTCGCTGTTGAGCTTCCACATACTACGTTCAACAAGGCAGAGTACGCTCACGTACCAGATGAGATGGATGAGCCCCTGCAACTGTCGGTCAGACGAGAAGCCTACCACGATAGCCAGGACGCGCTCGGGGCAAGTCTAGACCAGCGACAAAGGGCTGAGACGGCACTGCTCGACCTGGATCGACTAGCTCGCAGTGTGTTCGACGCTGTTGGTCATGCTTTGCAGCGCGATCCTGGCTACGCTCACATCGTGACCATCACTAATAACGGTGATCCGGCACTTGCGAGCGACGCTCATCAACGATTGCAGAAAGCCGTCGAGAAGGTCATCAGTCTGGGAAGCTATGCTGAAGTCCCCCTGGATGTGCTCATGCGGATCCAGAAGCTCAGCGAAGTGAGTGTCAAGCAGACCCTTGAGTTGGATCTTAAACTTGATGACAGTTGGGGCGAGTCCGATGTCAATAGATGGCTAGACCAGCTTCAGCAGGTGGAGATCGGCTTGAGGGCGGGCCGGACCATGATGCGTATCATGTGCGGCGGGCGTGAAGAAAAGCTGCTGTATTCGGAGGATGCCATTAAGCAGGGCATTGAGCTGTACAAGAATGTCATAGATGGCATTGTGGTTCCGGTGGTCGAGCTCAAGGGCAGCGGGCCGACCAGCGACCTTTTCAAACTTCTCCAACCACACAAGAAGGAACTCGCCACAATCCTGGTCAATTGCCAACGCCTATTCGCGCTTCTCACGAATCTCGTCCGAAGCATTCAGCTCTCCGATGTTGCTCTCGGCACTCTCGAATTCTCTGCCTCGAGCCTGATTTTCGTCGACAATGCTCACTACGAGAAGGATTCCGTGGTGGGGGTCCAGAAATTCGACGGGATCCGTTTGGTGGCGATGGACATGCTCTGCCAGATCTTCCTTGTCAAGCCAGATGAGCGTAATGGCATCTTCAACGAGCTTCTCACGTCTCTTGAGAAGTTGCCAGTCGGCAAGCAAAGCGCTAGGCAGTTCAGGTTGTCAGAAGGCGGGAACATCCAGCCTCTCTCTGCACTCCTGATGCGTCTCGTTCAGTCGAGCTCTGGAAAGATACAAAACAAAGAGCAACGTGTAAGGACATCAGAAGACGCCGACGGTGAAGAGGACGAGCTCCAAAATGGCACCGCGACACATGCGGGGCCCGATCAGCAGATCTTCACGATTAAATCGGAGATCCAGGGTGCGGATGAACACCATACTGCCATGACTGAATTGGAGAATGTCTCGAAACCTCTTGTCGACGGCGTGCAGCGGAACGCCTCTCACGTTGTCAACTTCATTGTCAACCGGGCTCTGAAGTCAACCAAGTCTGGGGACGCACCGTTCCGCAACCTACTGGATCTTTTCGTCGAAGACTTCACCACATGCATGGATTCGCCTGACTGGCCGGCTGCCGAATTGATTCTCCGACAATTGACCTACTCTATGATTCGCTTGTGGGAGAACGACAAATCAGTGGCTCCTGCAAAGAACATGGCTCTCGAACTGCTCGGTGTCATGTGTGCAGCGGTGTCGAGGCTGCGCTCCCATATCAGGAAAGTTGCGGAGAGCAAAGACTCGAGCACTGGTGATCAGTTGGGGCGGTTTCTCGCAGACCTTGCCATGGCCGCCCTGGAGCAGAACAATCGCGTGGAGCACTTGGTTTCCTGGTCGGGACCCTTCCGGGCTACCCTTGAGCACCTCGAGGAACGCTGCGCCGATGACCCTCACCTCAGGGGTGCCATCTCATATCTGATCACGGATTGGGCCGAGCGTTGCAGCTTGGCTTACCACGGCGTCGAGGAAGATATGGAGGAGCGTGATCGCGAGTATGGCCGTCTCGCCTATCGACTCCGGATGATGATCGATGACCCTCGCTGGCTCTCCAGTGAGTATACGTTCAAAAAAGTTGCGCCCAACCACGCCAAGCTGTCTTACTCGATTGTATTGCTTCGCTCTCCTTTCTGCGAGCTATTCCCTCGTATGCTTAACGCTCTACTTAACGCCATGGCTAGCGATCAGGCATCCGTCCGAAGCAAGAGTCTGAGAAGCATCAATCAGCTTTTGGAGACCGACCCGGCAATTCTCGACGGCAACTCGTTGGTCGTGGAGCTCATCCTGAACTGTTCTAATGATTCTTCGCCACAAGTCCGCGACTCGGCTATTGGCCTCATGGGCAAGTGTATTCAGCTACGCAGCAATCTCGAGGAGAAGATGATGGAAAAAATTCTGGATCGCTTCGTCGACAGCGGTGTGGGAGTACGCAAGCGCGCCATGAAACTCGCGCGTGACATCTACCTGCGTAATCAGAGCAAACAGGCCCGTAGCGCTATCGCCAGCAACCTACTGCACCGTGTGCAAGACCCCGACGAGAGTGTGCGCGATCTGGCTCGGCAGATGATCGAGGAGGTTTGGTTCGCGCCTTTCTATCATGCCGAGGACACACCCGCATTCAAGTCCTCGCTGACCGAACACGTCGCTCTCATGATCCAGACGAGCAAGTCTGGGAACATTACCGCTATCCTAGACAAGGTGCTGCAATCAATCCTCGGCACGACGAACAAGGCTCAGAAAGGGCCATTTGAGGTGAGCATCAAACTGGTCGCCAGCATGTTCGAGCTCATCGACAACCTTGATTCGGACGACCCATCTATTCCTCACGGGCGAGACGCATTACAAGTTCTTCAAGTCTTTGCGAAAGCCGATCCCAAGCTCTTCACCTTTGAGGAGATCCGCCTCCTGAAACCACACCTGTCGAGCTATAGCACCGTTGACGACCGGGCCGTGTTCAAAGCTGTTGCCGTCATTTACCGCCAGGTGTTACCGCAGCTTACGATCAAACATGAAGAGTTTCTCAAAGATGTTCGAACACAACTTCAATACTGTCTCGGCAAGATTATCAAGCCACTCCTGGATGATTCAGTCGCTTGTCTCTGGATCTTAGCCCAGTTGCTTGGCAATCGTATGAACTTGGCTCGTCTTGCCGGATCCAGTCTTGCGGGGACAGTCAAGCTTCGTCAGTCGCCTCCTAACGAGAAAACTGTCCAGCTCTTCATCCGCTACTCCCAGATCATTGGCGCCGTCGGCAAGCACTGCAATCTAGACTCTGATTGGGATTCATTCAAGGCCGCAGGCAGCCCGTCTCTGCCCGATTCCAAAGACAAGTCGGTTACGAAGCTCATGGTGGATCAACTCTCTCCTTGGGCTGACTCAAAGAAGCCTCTGGAGGCAAGGAAGGCCGCTTTGGAGGCGATTGGGCTCATCTGCCAATCGCACCCTCGCAATTACGTGTCCCCCAACGTGATCCCGAGATTCGAGGCTGTCTTTTCGGAGAAGAACCCCGTCCTCGAGGATGCTGTTTTGAGGTCCTTCAAAGAGTTCCTCATCAGTGAGGAGCGACGATCCGAGGCCTCTACCGCCAAACCCGCCACGGGCCCAGATGACAAGAAGCGCAATTTGACAGTGATGGGCGGAACCACCCACGACGATGTCAGCAGCGCAACTACGCAGCGCTTCCTGGAAGACATTACGAGAATCGCTCTATCGTCTAAGGACGAGCACGCCTTCTTGGCCGTCGAGGTTCTCGGTAGCATCAATCGACAAGGCCTCACGCATCCAAAGGAGGTTGGTGTCACGCTGATCACTCTGGAAACCTGCCCGGTTCATAGGATCTCTGAGGTTGCTTACATGGAACATCGAGCTCTGCACGAGAAGTACGAGACCGTTGTCGAACGTGAGTACGTCAAGGCCATCCAAGTGGCTTATGAATATCAGCGCGACATTATAAAGGATCCCCGCGGCGCAACGGAGAACCCTTTCCAATCAAAACTTCATCTGTTGATGGAGGTTCTAAAGATCAGCAAGTCGAAAAATCGTCAGAAGTTCATGACCAAACTCGTCGCTCACGTTGATTTCGACCCGAATAAACTGGAAACCACGGACGAAATGCCACCTCAGATGGGCATCTCCCGGTTCATCATTGAGAACCTTGCCTTTTTCGAGTACATGACCGTCGGAGAGGTGCAGTTGACTGTCGCCGCCATGGAAAAGGTCGTCTCTTCGACAGGGTCTAATCTCGCGCATGTTATTGAGACGGAGCTGTTCAATGTCCGCATGGACATGGATACTGAACAGCCCCTGCAACCTGTCGCGCCGAAAGAGGGACAAGTTGAGGACGATTCAGTCGTGCAAGAACAATCGTTTGGGCCGCCCCTTGCGAAGCTCAATGTCACCCCTGAGCGGCTGCGGCAGCTCGGAGCCGGCGCCATCATTTTACTAGCGCTCTGGGAGGCGCGAACACACATCAGGCGTCTCTACGGCATGAACAGTAACCGCAGGGAGTCGAAGAGCAAAGCGGCTGCCAAGGATCTCAGCAAAACACCCGTCAAGGTTCCGGGCATCACGGGTGACAAGTTTTGGGAAGAAGTCACTTCTCATATCAGCGGTCTGGCTTCACAAGAGTGCCTCATGCGCAAGTGCCGAGCCTTTGTAGAGCTCATGAACGTTGACAAGGAGTTCAAGGTTCAGAAAGAGGACGAGGAGCTTGATGAGGAAGAGCCCGCGACTCCCAGCGGTGGCGAAGACGAAGTGGGAACTCTCAACCGGAAGAGGAAAGCAGGTCCAGGCACGCCCGGGAGCCGCAAGAAGCAGGCGAGGATGAACGGCCAAAAGCCGCGCGGACGACCACGAAAGGGAGCCCAGCCGACCAGCGATGATGAGGATGCTGACGGAGACTTTGATGACTTGTTCTGAGACGGTGATCACGATACGATGCGGCTCTGCTCGGACAGGAATGGGGAGGAGGCGTTACTGGTGTTCCACGTTTTTGCGCCACGCGTCGATATGACAATCTTGCAACGTCACGAGCTAAGTAGAGGGGTTTCACGCATCTTTGGCTGTTTAATACCGAGGACACGGGGCCGGAAGGACTGGGTGCATCATTCAAAGACAAGGAGGCTCCGCAATATTGAGGTATGAGGCTTCGCATCGTGCCACGATGGGAGACGAGAGAATTGGAGCGGTGAAGTCGCAAACTGAAAATGGGTGGCGTTCAGGTGTTTTTCTCCGAGGTGGTACGGCGACTCTCTGCGGAGAAAAGGGGTGTCCGGGATACCTTTTATTCGGGAGGCATCTTCAAGATGTTGGGCTTGTTTTCGTTTCCTACTTATTTGCTCTCTCTTTACCGATGATACCTCTCTTCTGGTGTGGTTGGCCTTTCTCATGCAAGAAAAATACAACCATGGCCGAAACTATCAGAGCTGCACTCGGCTCGAGGCAAGGCAGTTAGTTTGCTCAATAACGCTGCCTGCTGCTTCTCAGCTTCTACTTGCAGGATGACTCATGTGGCAGACGCGATCAATCTAGTTGTATGCCGTGACGATGGATGTTTCCTTGAATGTGCAAACGATATTATTCATAATGAGTACTTGGAGCTCATATCTGCTACTACCCTTGAGACATCTTGAGAAAGACAGCAGATAACGAATGTATTCCCAACCCTCTCTAGCCTAAAACGCCAGTGCCATGCCGCTTCCCATCCAAATGTCAGTGCTCGAAGCGATGCTGGACGATGACCGTCGCTCCATCCGCTGAAAAGAATCATGAAAAGCATGGAAAGCAAAAGAAAAGCAAAACCTCCGCTCTCTCTCTCTCTCTCTTCGGGTATCATGTGAGCATCCATGTCAACGCTTTCTCGTCCCTCCCTGATCGTCTCACATCGCTCAGATCGACATGTAGTGCCAAACAAATGATGTTGGCCACGGCGCCCAAGCGCCAAAAGCGCATCACTCGCTGCATCCATGCTGTCAAGCCATCCGCGTACCGCTTCACGCAGGACGCTTTCCTGCTCTTCTCTCACGACTCTGCAGCCGTTTCCATTGCGTCCTTCACCTTCGTGCTCTCGCTTCTCTACAACGTCCCGAATGATGTCGTGCAAGGCGGACAGAACGACCGACTTGCATTCACCTCGCGGTACTTCCTGAACCAGGTGCGGTATCGTATGGCTCTCTTCAGATTCGGAAGCGTCACTGTTGCTGCGTCCGCGACCCTTGCTTGTGGATCGTGACGAACTGGAAGAATTGTGCTTGCTCGTGTCGAGGCCCTGTGAGATAACTCTTTCAACAGCCTCAGTCAGGACGTCGTCCAGGCTGGCAAAGTTCTCTTCAATGAATTCATCCTCCAATTGGTGCTCATAAGGCATGACTGAAGGAGTCAGCAGCGCGGTGCCGTACACGCTGGAACCAGCAGAGCCCATGGGGGCCGGACGTTCCGCCCACGGTCTTGGACGGATTAGTCGGCGATATCGGATGCGCTTGGTCGTGTGTGTAGCTGTGTCTGCTATCAAGACTGAGCTGACATCGACCCATCTCTCCCCAGAGTCATCGCTTGCTTGCTTGTGGAAGATGAATGGAGTCGGTTCCGACCGCATGGACTGCTTGATCTGCTCTTCCAGATCGTCTTGTGGTGGGATCGCTTGCAGCACAAAGTCTTGATGAAATCGCTGCAGGTACCCGGCGACATTCATAGGTAGATCGCCATCAATGACTATGCGAGAAAGCTGCTCAAAGCCATCGAGTCCGCTGCCCAGTCCAGGGGTGGAAAGGTAGCCACTGCTTGAGGGAGAGCTGACAGCAGTTTCAAATGATGTAATGTAGTCAGGAAATGGAATGTCGACGTCGATTACACCATCCTCGGGGTTGATCGTGGTCTTGACAGGAGACTGGAACGCACTCGTGGGATCCGGCGTTCTTTCAGCAAAACCCAACCTCTCGGGTTCATCATCAATGGCTTGCTCATCATCATAACCGCGAGGTGTCTGGGGCTCACTACCCTCGATGGACGGTCTTGGGTCGGTCGTGTGACGATAGCCCTCCACAATGGACGCTTCTCTCACCATTTCAGCCAGCTTATCGGTTCTACCGAAATTGCCTTTCGTAGGCGAGGTTGGGCTGCTGGACTCGTGCATTGTCAGGTTGGATGATCCTCTCCGAGCGGCAGTGCTCCACAGGCCACTGATCATGCTGCCCCATCGGGAACTTGCTGCTCGAGAGTCGGTGCTGGCGCTACTCATGTGTCCTGAAGTTTCACCGCGTATCAAGGATCGTTTGAGGTCGTCCGCGGCAATGCTACTACTGCTGCCAGGTCGCGGCCTCCGTCGACTTTCTGTCCTATGAAAGGTGGAGAAATGGGGAATAGACGTTTCTGGCGTGATCGTGGTCGTCGTTGCCGCGCTGCTTTTTCTACTCCCGACATCATTGCCAGGGATAGGGAGGTTGGATCTAAGGGAGCCCACGTCAGAGAAACGTCTCTCATGATGTCCTTCCATGGCAAGGTGGGCGAGTTGAGTTGGGACACCGGACATGCGAGTGCTTTGGCTCATGTTGCGTGTGTGCGATGTTCGCCTTGGTCCAGTTCTGCGGTTGATCTTTCGGCGTAAAGACTCTTCGCGCAGGATCGGCACAATGTAGGAAGGCGGTGACTGCGAGAAGGCCCCGACAGACGTCGACGTGCTCGGCCGGTGTGGGCGTGCAGTGGGTACCTGCTGATTGGCTGGGAGGAAGGCGGACAGCAGGAAAATCAAGCGCCGCGCGAGCATCTTGTCCTGAGAAACGATGACGGTGCGGGCAGGTAGGAACAAATCCTCTTCTCCCTTTGCTCGTTGCTGCTCGTAAAACTTCCTTCGGTACGACATGGGGCTCAGCGCCTGGAGCCAGTCCATGTGAGTAGCAAGAAAGCCGGTCAACAGATGAAAGAAGAATGAGAACCCATCATCCCTCTCGCTGGCTCTGCGAGCCATCCACCTCGCCTCGTCTCGCCAAATGCCCCACCTGCCCTGGCCAGTGATGACACGTTGCGCACGCAGACCAGTGACGACTCGTACTCTTGCCATAGCAGCATGTTGTACAATGAGGTCGTCGTGTTGAAGACGATGCGACTGTAGCGCAATGAGCTTGGAATTTGTTTTCGGGGGTTTGAACATGTGCGCATCGTCGCCCCTCCTGTTCAGGGATGGGGTGCGTCCAACAAAAGAGGCGACGGGCGCCGTAGATGGATCCGGAGATGAGATGTCTTCCTGTTTGAGCATGGCACCTAAAGACATGGCCACTACAGATTGGAGATGCGTCAGCGTTCTCATGATGATGTCCCAGTGCTGGGTGACAACATCCATGCGATCATCCACGTCAGCGGAAAATGACGACTCCAGAGACTCATTGTGGAATCCAGAGCCCGGCATGGCCCAACCGGAGCGACGGGCAGAGCTCATGGATGACGCAAAGAAATCATGGTCAGTGTAAGACCCAGGCCCCTTGAACGTGAGGCGTGTAGCAGCAGCGGGTGGCATCGTCTGGTTGGGACTCGGCGGCAGTTGAATGACGAGCACCACGGCGTACATTGGCGTCCTCTTCTGCTTTGGCTGCGGCTTCTTCTTAGGAACTGGCTCTTCTGGTGGTGGAAAGGGAAACCCAGCATTTTGGTCGGAATATCGGCTCATGGGGGTATCGTTTTCAGAATCGTCAGTGGGCATGATGACCGGAAATAGTCTTGTGATGAGGATCTTTCTCCTGTCAGATTGCCTCGGCGTCGAAGTCGTTGCGAAGGATGCCGAAGGGTGTGCTGAAGAAAGAGTCTCAGACGTGTACGACTGCGCGAGCCGGCTTGAACGCATGCTTGATCTTCCAATGGACCCACGCCCATCGCCCAGCAAAGACCCGGCATACTCCGTGCGACTGTCACTAGAGCTAGGGACAATGTGCACTTTAGTTGAGGTGCCCTTGTAAGCCATCAACTCGGAATTGCCAAATGTGCAACTGGAAAATGCGCTGATCTCGTCGTTGTACTCGCGACGCGCGCGCTGTAATTCTGTTTCAGCCGTTGTTTGTGTGCGGCCTTGCAGAGAGCCACGACGGTCAAAGGCGCCCTGACGCGGTTGTGGGCTGTCCGGTTGAATGACAAGGGGCCTAGACCCGTGGTTCAGACTGCTTTTACGCGGCGTTCCTGGCGTCCTCCGAGGGTCCTGGAAGGACGGCAACCCTCCCGGTGATCGATCTGGAGCAATGGGTGCTGGCGGGGGCGGCCCCTGGCTGTCGAACAGGAGCTGGAACGGATAAGGACCAGCAGCATCCTGCATGATGAGGACCCTAATATGTCGTGCGTCGAGCTCAATGTCTGCTTCATAATCAAACGGGCTGCCTGGGGTTGTTGATGGTAGGGCCGTGGAGAGTGGAAAGACCTGGTCGTTTTGGTGCTGAAACAGGGCGTCGGCATCGGGAAACAGGAGATGACGGGTGTGAATATCCTCTTGCACAGACTCCAGAGACGACTGGGGGGGTTTGGTGTAATTGGACTGAGGCGACCCGCCACTACTGGCGCCATTGCCGGTCCCCAAGTTGAATAGTTTCCCCAACATGGCGGCGAGATGATCGGCCACAAGGGGGAAGGTGAAAGGGATCTTATATCAGAACGTATGTCTTCTCAAAGATGTAATACTGAACCCATGCTCAACAGCGAGAGGCGAGGGAATCCAAATTCAGGGGCATCGCATCGGCCTCGGCGTCCATGGGTAGAAAGTGGGAGATGTCAAGTGATTAAGTTGTTAGGAAGTGCTTTTCGCTGGGAGGAGGATTGGCGATGACAGCGGCCGTGTGAGGTGTGTCAAGACGGTGAAGTCTAGTCGAGAGTCGACAGGTCTCGGCCCGTATGCGTGGTCGTCGCTTGTCGTAAAATAGTCACGCGGTCGGTTGCCGTTGACGTGG